AACTGCAGGTGTGTGTCTGTGTCTGGTCTGGTGAGGTTTTGGTTAAAAAATCCAGTAAGAGTAGAAATACTTCATAGTGAAGTTACTCAAGTAAAAGTAAAAAGTACAGCGTAGTGAGAAACTCCTAAAATTATTATTTTTTTTTTCATAAAAGTTACTACCCAACTTTGCTGCAGCGCCTAGGAAAAGGTCATACATAGCTGCACACACTGCTTATGCCTTGGGCCGGCTCTGGTTGAAAGGACAGAAAGTAAACACAGGAAAACTCAAAAGCACAAGTGATTGAAACTTTCCAAATGGTAGATTTGAACTGTAAATAAACAAACATTACTAAATTAATCTGAGGAGTTGACAATGACCCTTCTTTAAATTTAAAAAACTAAAGTGTAAATGCAGGATATGTTTTTATTAGTTTCCTCTGATGCTTTTCAACAACCATAAACCTGGCTCTTACTTCTGCATGATACATGCAGGAATGTGGTCTGTAAAATTATATTCACAGATACTCTAACGCGGTACATGAGAGAACCGAGGTCAAAGTAATTACACTCCATCATCTGAGCTCCAATTATCTCATAAAGCCCACCTGTTAGGCTATAATTATCATTGTCATGGTAAACATGTAAACCTATTTTAGAGATCCTGCAAAATAGGAATAATAAACAGGTCGCCATCAGAAATATTTGACTATACCAAGCTGATGATAAGATCGTTTGAAACCTAAAAACAGGTGTGCAGTTTGAGTGTGTGGGTTGTAAAGAAAGCTCCAGCACTGAAACATCATATGCACGCCGTGATACATGCACTCTGCCACAGCATATCACTCTTACATATCAATGTAGGAAGTGTTGAGTTTGAGGCAGATGGTGAAAGCAAGAATTTCGAAACAGGAGGCAAAGCACTAACTGCTCACTGTCAGAGAAATGATGAAACTGCACTTATCACATGAACCTCAAGAACATCCACTTTTACATTGGAGCTGCATACACTGCAAAAAACACAAACTTACCAAGTGTTTTTGTCTGTTTTCTAGAGCAAATATCTTTAAACACTTGAAATAAGAGGGTTCTAACTCAGAAGTAGCTTTTCATTAGCACATAGGAGCTTGTTTAAGTCAATAATTCATTAATACTGATAAATAAAAGTACCAGTCTGACTGGCACAGTTTTTTCACTTTTGTTTTAAGTGAAAGTAATACTTCTGTTTTTATCTAAAGTTGCGTTTCCATTGATCATATAATTGCACAACTGAAATTTTGAAAAACAATCTCACTATATGAAAATACACCTATTTTGAAAAAGCTCACGTTTTTTGATAAAATGTTTTTGCATAAGGATGAGACGGGTTTTTTGGCTAGTATTATGCTAAATTAGTATAATTTCATGTAATTTCACACAATTTGTGTAATTTTCAAAATTGCAATGGAAAAACATTTTGCATCACACAAGTCACATGATCAACGATTGGATATTACTGCTGGCAGAAACAACAAACAAGACACCAGGAAGTGGTAGAACGATGATGGCGCTGGATGTTTTCTAATGGCTTATTGTGTGAACAGAGATATTTATGTGTGATTTTAATTGTGTTTCTTATTTAATGGAAACACCGTAAATGCAAAATTGTGTTTTTTCAACATTAGCAGAAAATCAACAAACTCTTGTGCATATTTGTAATGGACAGGCAGGTAATGTTAAGGAATTGTTGACTTAGAACAAACTTCTATATTGTGCTAAAAAGTTACTTGTAAGTTAGTTTTGCCTTATTTCAAGTGTAATAAGATATTTGCACTGTAAACTAGACAAAAGTACGTGATCAAATTTTGTGTTTTTGCACAAAATTAGTGGCCAGTTAACTAAACCAAAACCAATGCACACATTGAAAAACATGCAAACTTCACCTATAAATATAGTAGCCCTTTTTAAATTTTTTATCAGTAAAACACCAATTAACTGCTGCCCACTTTCTTTTTATGAACAAGAAAATCTGCACTTCCAGGAATCATCACAGCAAAAGTTGCAATCACTCATTTCCTGAAGCTGATAGATCTTTTGCAGAATTAACCAAACCCAAAGCCAGACTGTTAACACAGGAAACATGTTTATTGAGAAAAGAGGAGCATCAATGGGAGAATGCATTGCTGGCTGTGGCACTTCGGTCCTTGATCCTGAGGAGGAGAGGGGGGACCTTCACATGACAAAAGCGAGCAAAACTGTCCGAGAGGCTCGGCCGCTCCTCGTGCAGTGATCAGCGCTGCTGACAGGACCGTTACGCAACACAGGCTGGGACAGAGAGAAGAAGCACCTTCAACGTTAAAGCTTTAGTTAATCATATGAAACAAAACAACAGGGAGAATTGGCACCTTTGAGAAATGTCTTTAAAAATGCTAGAAAAATTAAATGCATTTTAAATAAAAAGGGACAAACGTTTTGATATTTGGCTGGTCAAGAAAAAAAACAACCTTAAAGTTTCCACTAAAAGTTCACATTTTGTTTCTGCCTAAATTCTGTTGAATTGACTTTCCTAAATTGGATAGCACCAGCTATTCTTTTAAAGCATTAGTTTTCGATTACTATTTAAATCTTGTGACTTACAATTACACCAATAAAAAGCAAAAAACAAACAAACAAACAAACAAACAACTGACAAAAATAAAATGGGATTACTGCTGTTAGAGAATATTCAGTCTTTTCAAATCAAAAACATAAAAATCAATGCGTTTTCTGGTAACTTGAATTCATTGAGGCCTGGATTTTATTCTCCAATGTTCTTTCACAGCAGCTGATAAATCAGTTTTTCCCGTTTAAACCCTATGTTTCTATGGTTGGTGGACTGATGCATCATGATCCTGAACAATGAGTTCATCGCCACCAAGCCTACTTTAGATTGATGGAATGAGAAAAGTGTCCAAATTCATGGAAATGTGTGTTATTTTCTTTGTGCAGTTGTCTTTACAAGTTTTATGATGATGGCACCAAACAAATAATGGCTTCCTCACTGAAATCTTCTTCTATTTGGTTGGATCCTTTTAAGGCTTCTGGAATACGGGGTTATTTTTGCCCAAAAGTCAGTAGCAGTTCCAGTTAGGCTCCTTCTCTATTGAGAGTTTTAAAACCAGAACCTTTTTGAATCTTTGTTGGTCGACAAGCTGAGCTTGACAAACTGCAACTGGACTCCTTTATGCCATTTCCAAAGGAAATTAAGACAGGATAGTGTCAATGAATGGTTGCAAATTTGTAAAATCTCATTTGTGTGAGAAGAACGACCTTACTCCACATGTAATACTCAGAACACGGCTTTCGTGCCCATTCTGTTTCCTATTTCTATTCTACCATTACAGAAACTCTAGCATTAGGAAGGATCCTCACAATTTGCTAATGTTTTCTAAATATTTAGGAGGTTTCTGCTCTTCAACCAACAGTTCCAATCTTGACGTGCAATTTGGAGATGTGTGCACATCTCCCGAACTTGGAGAGCATACCAATCTCCATGTGCAAAGGAGGACAACATGTGTTGTTTGTTTCAGTTGATTCATGAGACGAGTTTTTTTTTAGCAAGAGCAATGCCATGACAGTATGTGAAGAGAAGCTGTGGCTACTTGTTGCAATTTCAGACTGGTATGTGTAGCCACTGCACAAGCCCAAGACGGCCATTCCTTATTTAACCTAGAAGATCTAGTGAAGTTTGAGAACATTCTACTAAGTAAAACTAAAGACAGACCATCAAAGATTGATGTTTATCTTTTAGCCAGAAACAATTGTAACCTATAAGAACAAAGAAAGCATTGTTTTTCCAAATCAAAGTGCTAACCAGTACTTATGCTAACCCTTATCTTTTAACTTATCTTGGTTATCATTGTTAATGTGATATTATGTATTGAAATATATCTTCATTTTATAGAGTCTTTTGACATCATAACTTTGTCAGCTACATTTTAAAACATACAGTAAATTAAGCTGAGTTGGTATTGATTAGCTAGATAGCTATCATTTGGTGCTAACAGAGCTAACATTTGCTTTGTCAGTTCTTTCAGTAAGCTAAGGCAAGGAGCTAAATGCTCTAAGTTTTTAGGTAAATACTAGTGAAACCCTGGTATTCATCCAAAGGTGGTGATTGTTTATCTTTGAAGCTAGCTCAATAATATATTAAATGTTACTGTATATATAGGTTTCTAAATGTTTAAACTGTAACTTATCAGCTTATAAGGCAACCAAATATCATTTTATTTGACATAGAACTGTTTTAATTAGTGTCTTTACTGTATTTGGTGACATTGTTGCAGGATTTGGGCGAAGTGAACCTCTGATTGTTCCTGCTGACATGCTGTGCTATTCCTGCTGTGCCTGACAGAACCATGTGCATCTTGTGTGCTTCAGACAGCTGTTCCTGGGACAATGGGTATGTTGGAAAGCACAGGGAATGTGCATTGTTGTGCTGGGAAATGGAGCAGCAGCAGCTGTGCTTCATTGTTGTGCCATAGACAGTATTGGGTCATAGTAGCCAGATGATTTTAAAAGGCATATATCATCGAATTTTAGAGGCAGAAAACCTAAAAATTATGAAACAATGAAACAGAAAAAAATCACAATCAGCATTCTAATGTTTTCGAAAGTGGAGTAGTGATTTTGATACGCAATTTTCCCAAACAAAAATTAGTTTTTGAGTAAACTAAAATTGGGAAATACTGAAACAGAGGACGGCTTTAGGATTCAAGGTCATCTATGCAGTAGCGTGGAAGTAAATAAGTAAAAAGAAGAGATTGTTTCTCACCCACAAAAACGGTCGTTCTGCCAGAAAACTTTTCACTCTGTGCTTCTAAAACTATTTAAATCTTAAATTTAAAAGATAATCCACAGTTCAGGCTTTTGGCTAGGACAGCTAGCTATATTATGACTTTATTATCTTTATTACATCTTTATTCTTGTTTTTTCAAGTAATATTGACTTTATTCTTGTATGAGTTTGTTGTCATAAATTTATTACTTTATTCTGGTGAATTTGTTTTTTTTTTTGAGTATGGCCCTAATACTCTGTTGTAATTCAAAACCTCCTATAGACTGTGTAAATCTCAGATTTCTTTTTCTATAAACAATCTTTCTGGATATTTAGAGGCAGAATTAGCTTTGTAGCCATTAGCAATTGTTTTTTTATTTATTTTTGTCTGAGCCAAATGGAAAAGAATGTCTCATTATAGCCGTAGTCTGATTATATGTCAGTATTTTACCATTTCTACCTTGATTAGCATTAGCTTGAAGTGACATTTTAGGACAAAAAAAATACAGTGTTGTAGGAAAACTTAACTACAGAAAGGTCTATAGAGTCTGAGTGGCATGAGAGACCTCAGAGTAACATTCTGACAGAGTGATTATATGGAGAAAAGTGAGACTTTCCTTAACCAGGTCTCACATAGCTGTTGGGAGAATCGTACTTATGCTTGCCTGTGAACAATAACAACACGGGTCTGAACCAGAGCAGAAATTATGGCTTTCTGGATGCCGAGTTATTGGCACAAGCAGAAATTTGAAACAGGATTAAATTACAGGCAGACTCGGCTTGGGACAGATCACCTTTAAATCCGTTTGTAGGGTGCTGGTTTGCTAAGTACTCAAGTTACAGTTTCTCTAAATTTCTTCTCCTGACTGGATAAATCGGCTGATAAATCTTAATTTGTTGAATTCAAACTTGAGCTCCCAACTATAATATGCTCACCTTTATTTTATGCTTCTAAACACAATTCTTGATGAAGAAGTATGTAAAATGTTTAAAAAATATTTAAAAAAATATGAAAAAATGATGATATATGCCCTTTAATGAAAGGTGTGCATTCTTTGGGAAATATATGAGTTAGTCTACAATTTCTCTCTTTAAATTGATAAAAACATAGCAAATTACTGCATGATAACAAAAAGTTATTTATCAGCTGATAAAATATGATCTCGATGATATTTGATTTAGTGATACAATCTTATAAACTCTACATAATATAGTTTCTAAAAATGGATAATAAACATTTTCATTTTCTTGTGAACTCCTCAGTTTCGTTCTATCTCGGAGTATTTTGGCATGCCACACTACAAAACAACCTTAAAAATAACATAGCTGTAGGTCCACAATTCGTCCGAATTTAAAGATTTGAAATTAAAAATGTAAAACTAAGTCTCCCGTGACAAAATGTCAAAGCTAAAAACTTATTCTCTTCCATCATTTTGGAGATAAACTTAAAAGTTATTTCCAAAAACAATAGAGATATTTATGAATTAAGCATTCATCTTAAAGCTGAAATGTCATTTTGTCTTTCCTGTGATGGCATACAGCGACAGAAACAAACAAAAAATTATTAAAATGGTTATAAAAGAAGGTACTTTTGAGGCAAAAGTCTTGTAGAAGAAGAGAATGATGGGTTTTGAGCTCCTTTGGTAAAAACGGCATTCTCAGTTCAGGAGAGGCTTCTGGTATTTCAAGAGTCTCAGTGCTAGCTCTTGTTTTGTCCCTCAATCCTCCTGGTTTTTGTCTGCATTTTATCCATCTTTTGCCGTCAGTCCATGTTTGGTTTGTGGTCTTTCACTAGAAGAATCCAGAGGAGCCGCCACATCACGTGATCAAGCAGCAGTTGATGCAGCGGGGTCCCAGTCTTCTCTTCATGGATCCCTTCTTCCTCTTGGGAGCCAGAATGGCGATGATGGCCTCGTCGAACACCGTCTTCAGGCCCTTCTGGGTCAGCGCCGAGCACTCCACGTAGCAACACGCCCCGATCTGACATGGAAAACAGGAGACACAGTCACAATTTTACCATTTCTTAACAAATAAGAGCCGACTCCACAGGTAAAACTGTAGTAAAGGTAACACAGGGGTTTTCAAAGTGCGGCCCGGGGGCCATTTGTGGCCCTTGGACATATTTTTTGTGGCCTCCAACTGCAAATGGAGGCTTTTTATTTGTAATCAGGGTAAAATTATTACCAACATAAGTTTTGGTATGGAAAACATTAAGTTCAACACAAAGTATTTGTCTTTTTATAACCAAATAGAGAGTTTCTGATGGGTTTCTGAAGAAAGTGACCAGGTTTGTTTGGTTTTCTTGACTCACAAGTACTTTTGACTTGATAAAAGTTCTTGTTTTGACGCCTCTCACCTAAAATATGCAGCAGTCAGAAATTATTTCGTTTTTCTGTGGCTTTTAAAGGGGAAATATTATAAACAATATACATTTAGCATATTTTTATTCTTCCATTTGAGTCTCAACTGCTGGGAAGATTGCTATTAATGTATTTTAGGCAATAAAATGGAAATTTTCTTATTTAAAAAGGAAGTGAATTATTTGCATGTTTGCATCTTTTAATGTATTTTTAATATTGTTTAAATAAGTGGTTAAATAGAAATACGCAGAATGTGCAAAATTTGTATAATTTTAAACCCCTGCTTTGGTTAATTTTTCCATTTTGAATGTTTAATAGCAACATTACTGGAATCCATTTTGCTGTTTAAACACTTGAAGTAAAATAAAAATGTCTTTTAGGCCAAATCAAAACACCTTATTTTGGAATCAGTTTTCCAGAAATGCATGACGGTGTGAAGGAAGCTTCATAATAATTATCTTTTATTTTTTATTTTTAAGAGGGTAATTCTTTGCAGACCACATTTAGGATTTATATCCTGCAGCCCTGAACTCTGCTGGACGTCCATACTGACCAGGAATGTTTTCCTGGACTCATTTTACAGCAAAGAATGCTCAAAAGTCACATTCCAGAAATTAAACTCATATGTTAACATTCCTGCGTCAAATCCACATGCAGTAAAACTGAACATAGCTGCTTCTCCTTCATCAGTTGATCAATACGAACCTCCTTGGCCAGTTTCTGTCCCTGCTCCGTAGCGATTGGCTTCTCCTTCATGTCGTTCAGTTTTGCAATCGTCTTGGGGTCATCACGAAGGTCAATCTAGAAAATATTAGCAGCCTTTTGTCTGAGCGAGCCAGTAAAACAAATATAACACGACTAATAGATTTAGCTCGACCTGAAACCAATTTATATGTTGTGCAAACAAAACGTCTGATTTCACCTTTTTATCTACAACAGATGGAAGGTTTTTATTAAAGTGATTGTATTTTACTACTTTAGAATTTGAGAAATAATGCATAATTAGTCCTAACTTTAAATATTAATGATTGTTTTGAGTAGGCCTGTCACGACAACAAACTTTGATGGACGATTAATCGTCCCACAAGTTATTGTGATAAACGATAATATTGTTTTAAGACTAATTTCAATATAATGCACTTTCTCAAAGATCGATAAACTTCAAATTATAACAAACTTTTATTATTGGAACTAGAAGACATTTTAAATATCCAAAATAAATAAAGAAAACAACAGAAACAACAAATAGAATGAATTATGAAGTCTCCTTAAACAAAATTAATCATCGAAAAACTGTCTAGTTGAGTCCAAAGCAGCAGACTGAAGGCTTTTGTCATCAAGTTTTTAGCAGAAAAAGAGAGAAAAGAGAAAAACGATAAATCATGCAAATGTAAATTATTGAGTTTGTTTTAAGTTATCATGTGATTAATTGATTTACTGTATTGCTTATTGCAAGAGGTCTAGTTTAGAGTCTAAAACGTAAAATTGTCATTTATACAATGACATGAATGCATGCTTGGATTAGAGCTGAAATGATTAATCAGATTAATCAAAATTACAAATATGAAGATTAAAAATAAATAAATAAAATACAATTGCATAATTACTAATTGCAATAAGGACAAATGAAATGATTAATCATGATTAATCAATTACTGAAATAATTGTAAACAGAATTAGTAACCGATTAATCGCTAACTGCCAGACTAAAAAAGACTGTTTGGTGAAAGAATAATACATTAAGACCAGTAATTTAGTCAAAACTGTACAAAAATATGCATACATTTTACATGTAAGGTAAAAATTTAAAACTTTTGTCTGTAAATGTGTTCTATCCAGACGTCCTCTGGTAGCGTAGTCTAAGCTTCACTCAATTCTGTAAAAAAACATTTTAGAAATATTTTTAAAATCTCCTATTATTATAATCTCTAATTGTTAATTGATTAATCCAAACATATTCAACAAAAATATATTAGTGACCCTTTGAGTGCGTCAACAAAACAAGACGTGATTCAGTTTTCAAATTCTGCAAAAAATAAGAAAATTAACTAAATCTCCTCCACAGTATCTTTTGCTGTCTAATTATTAATTTGTTAATTTTTCAAGATAATCAGCAGATCAGGCTTTCGCTGCATGGATGTTAAATCAAGCAGAACTTTTCACATGTTGATGTTAGAAGCTGGATTGTTGTAACCAATAGGAAAATTCAACTGCAGTAGCCGCAGCTCAACCAAAGAGGGCAGCACTGAGGCGGTTTAAGGCCAATATTGGAGAATTAAACAAATTTACACAAACATGTCACAGAAACATAAAGATATCACCCTTAATGGCCAATTTAGACAGTTTATCTGCAAGAAAAAAAAGTTTATTTGGAGTTTACTCTTTAAGTTGATTATTAATATGCTTAATTATTGATTTTTACCACTAATTCCTGTTTATTTTACTAATAATCTTTAGCTGAAGTGCAATTATTTTTCAAACACAATAAAAGAATTACCAGATTATTCCTCTTAAATGGTGTAACAGACATCTGTTGACGCAAATTAAAATAATTGATCCTCCAGATTGATTCTGTCAGCTTGAGAGTGATTGGTTTATAATCTGAGCATAATTTGATGCAGCACACTCAGAGAGTGCAGAGTCAAAAAGCTTAACTCTGCAGATGAAACTGGGATTTCTCAATTCAAACATAATCATGCTCAGCTTCACTTCCTGATTCTGTGCAGCACTATTTCAGAGCCAGCCACGCGGTTCCTCTGTTTTAATCCACTGCAGCTCCCTTCACCTCCTCACCAGCGATAATAACCGTCTCCAATCAAAGCTTCCATCTGCTTTTCTTTTTTCCATCGTAAATGTCGTAGCAGCCTGCGCACACAGCCGCAGAGCAGCAAACGAGTCATGATGGGGACTGATAAAAGAGCGCACAACATCAGCTGACACGACATAAATCAGACACCCACTCCGTCCTCCTCATCACCGCTGCGCTGGCATTCGGTTGCCGGGGAACGCTGACCAACACGCCGGCTAACGATAAAAGATGTCCGTCTGTTGTTTTACTTTATGGAAAAATAAATCAAACATCATAGTTTTGTAAAAGACCAATAAAACCACATTGCTGTAATTTACAGCAACAAAAAAAACTAAAAAAAAACTGCAGTGTTTGTGTAATCTGCATTTCTACAACAAACACATGGACAACTATTGATGCACGCAAAAACTCTTTGTGCAATTTATGCAAACCCTCTTTGATGTGGGGGTTTGGAGTCAATCAATCTTTGTAGAGGACTTCAACACAACGAAGGCAGAACAAAATGTTAACATAGAAAAGAAAAAAAAGCACAGGAGGCATTGAAAATAACTTAGAAAACAGAGTTAAGCGAGAAATAAACAGAAATTTAAAATTAACTTCAGTCTGAATAAACCTAACTGTGTTGATGACAGTGATAGAGAGACAAAAATACAAATATTAAAAACCAAAAATAAACAAAAATTGCATAAATTACTAATTACAATAAAGTTAAATGAAAAGTATGTTAAGAAACTCAATGAAAAGTCAATATAAAACAGCTAAAAGAAACTACTAAAAATTTCATCTGAAACGATTAATCTGATTAATCAATTACTGAAATAATCGCCAACTAAATTAGTAATCGATTAATCATTGACTGGAGTACAGACTCAAAAAATGCCATTTGCTGAAAGAATAACACACCAAGAGCAGTAATTAAGCCAAAACTGTACAAAATAAATACATGCATTTTTCATTTAAGATAAAAAAAATGTCTTTGTTTCCCAAGATATTCTCCTCAAGTGTCATTTTTAGCTTCACCCGGTACAAATTCTGTAAAAAAAATATCCTATTATCCACCTTGTTTCATCAAATTATTGATTAAAAAATATCAAACACTATTTCTAGCTGCAGATTCATCGTTTGCTGCCCCTGATCAATGTTCACTAAAGTACTGCTATGTTACTGCATGTTAGGGAATAACATTTTTATTTTTTCATGTAAAAAATGTAGTTATTTGCATGTTTTTAATACATTTCTAATATTACATAAAAAGGCTTAAGTGGTTGAATTAAAAATCTGCAGAATGTGGCAATTTATTTTATCTGATTAATTGATTAATCATCAGAATAATCGATTACTAAAATAATCGTTAAATTAATTTATTTGAATAAAACTTGACTTCCTGGACAGGAAGTAAAACACTGACCTGGGTGCCAATCAGCAGGTAAGGAACGCTGGGTGCGTACTCCTGCAGCTCCGGCACCCATTCCTCACGCACATTTTGGAAACTGGCCGGGTTGACAACGGAGTAGCAGATGAGGAAGACATCCGTCATCGGATAGGACAAGGGCCTCAGGCGGTCATAGTCCTCCTGCAAAGACACAAAACGCAACGTCGCCCTTCAGGGACCAGGAACGTTTCGGTCGTTCATGTCAGTTCCTGAACATCAGATAGTAAACCGTTTCAGCAGCACCATGAGAAACTGACTAAAAGCCACAGTGACATCTTTGTGAATTTCCCATTTCCACCCTGAAAATGTCCGGTCCCAGAAAGCTGCTGTGTGTCAGATGTGCTGTCCCCATATAGTTCTGCAGACTCTGTCTAATTGGGGACCAAAATGTAAACGTTTGTTATATTTTCAGCTGCTGTGGTTCCCTTTCACACTGCGCTGAGTCAAACAAACCAAACTCTTTAAAGGACCTGTTCCCCTCCTCGTCTGTGGGGGCGCTGCACTCAGGACCAATGAAGGAAACAACACTGACGGCAACATCTTTCCACCACAAGTTGCAGTTAACGCTCCTCAAAAGGCAATCGATATTAATTGTGCTTTCTTTTCTTTTTAATAGCTTCCTTATGACCTTGTGACTGTACTGTTCCATTGCTGAATAACTTCAAATTGATCCATAGTCATCCATTATTACTTGCTAAAACAGTGTGCTGCTGTGTGACATCGATGTTCAAGCCAGAGGAAGACTTGAGGCTGGACTTGGACTGAGCATTCACAGAATTTTTAGAGGGACTTTAACTGACTTGTTCAGAGGGATGTTAAAGTTAGGGCTGCAATGATTCCTCGAATGATTGGAGTACCTTGATTATTAACATTTCTCGGGGCCTTGAAGCTTAATTAAATTATGTTTTTTTATTTAACACACTGTTTTCTAGCCAGGTGATTATTTATGTTGCGCATCGCCTCTAAGTTGTTGACGAAAGCTAAGTGCTAGCAGCATGGGGTGATATCATTAATTGACAATAATGTCCATGTTTTTATAATTTTTTGGGGGGCCAATAAGCATTAGTGATAAAAATCAATGAATTTAAGTGTCCTTAACATCACTGCTGTGATGCCTGGAGTACGACAGCCTCCAGGGAGCATCTGCCTGGTGGCCGGTCCAGAGTGAACGTGAAGTGTAGCTTTACAGACGAGCGGAAAATAAATTTCATGTCATCTCGGTCGCAACAAATGGGTGTTGGAGCGCGCTGTGGCGGTAGATGTCAGATGTTTTTCTGTGTGTGATGAAGGAACCAAATCCTGTCATCCACAAGGACACAAAAGCTATAAATGACGGCGCAAAGTGAGAAAGTGAGTGAGAAAGACGTAAGACTGGAAATAGACTAGAGGACAAAGATTTTAAACTGAACTTGGACTTGTCATTTAAGAGGCTCATGGATAAAGAAGTGATACTCGAAATTCTCTTGAGGAACGTTAGCATCTTTCGAAGACATGAGACTAGAAATTTACTTTTGGAGAAAACTGCTGGTGGAGAAAGACTTCAGACTTGACAGAAAAAATAGACTTGTGAATGCCAAAAGTCATATGTCATGAAGGTTCTTCTGACCCAAGACGGACCACTCCAAAGGAAGATTACAGACATTGTGTCTACCGTTTCCAAGGGAACGGACAGGATTTTTGTGGCCGAAGTCCAATCCTGGTGCTTCTAGGTACCCAACTGTTATATTGGCGCTGATGATGAATCTATGAGAACACATGCTGTCCTGGCAGCCCAAACTGCAGATGAGTCAACTTCGCATCAGTGGATGTGGGATGATGAGGAGAAATGATTCACCAATGTAGGAGCTGCCTATCCAATTACCTCCCAATGAGGACAGCAGGAGATTTTCAGAGAACCGGCTCAGCGAGGGCCTTCAGAGGGCTTTCAGGCGATGTGATGAGCGTTCGCACGTCTCCATTGACCAACGGGTCTGACGCGACGAGGATGAGGAAGACCTTCGTTTGGTATCCGAACCAAATGTAGCTACTCTCTACTTTGACTGATTGATGAGCCTAAAAATGCAGTATGGTTCGGATCAGTCCAATTTTCTTATACAGAGAGGCAAGAGAAGTGCAAAAGTGTAAATTTTAAAATGTCTTATTTTAAAATGTAGTGTAAAATAACAGTGCACAACTGTGAAGGAACATCTAATTTTTTAATTTTGAAAATAAAATAAAAAAAAATCTATTTTTTTCTATGTCTACATTTTTTAAGGATAAAAAATGTAGACATTCCTTCACAGTTTGCACTCTTATTATAAGAAATATTGATACAAATATTTACCCTACATGATTTTTTCTCTATATTTTACAAGCACAATGTACTTATTCAGGTTTTAGTCAGATTTTATCGAACACTTTATTTTAAAAATGTAGTTTTTACTTACAGAAACAAAAGAAGTCTAGTTTTAGTCAAGCAATGTAGCTCAACATCGAAAACTCAATGTAAACAACCAACTTAATTAAAGTAATCTGAGAAAAACAGCCAAGATCGCTACTTTTCTAAAACCCACTCAGCTTTTTTTCCTTCTTTGTGTCCAGTAACGTCAGATGTCTGCATTAAATCACGCTCTTCCTGTCTCTCCATACATGGTACCTCCTACTCGAGATGATGAAGTGCACCGTGTCCTTTCTTGTTCTTATCCTTCTCTGAGCTGCAGACTCTGTAAGCCACTCAGCGATTTACTGTAAACAGAACTGGAGCTTGTCTGATTCGGCTCCTATTCCTCAGTAAACCTCCAACTCGTTACCAAACACAGTAAAGGCCTCCGTACCCTCCAGGCAGTCCTCGGTTTAATCGGCGCTTCCCCCGCAGATATGTTTACACTCCTGCCGAGTCACTTAGGATGAAAGTTTCCACCAGAAATAAGTCACAGAGTTTTATTAGCTCAGTGCAAAAGTTCATGAACGAGACATGGTGTGTCTGATAGAAGTGTGCAAAACGGAGAAAAAATGGTCGACCAGCATAAATACGACATGGTTTTACATTATCGCAACAATTTAAAAGATTGAATGAATAAATGCTCCAGGTTCTTTTTAAAACGTGTAAGTGGCGCTACGTCAGGGTGTTGTCACACCTGATAGTCAGGTAGACTCGGTTTGATTGGGGACCAAAATGCAAAATTTGTTCCATCTTCAGCTGCGGTTTGTTTTCACACTGCACTGCGTCAAACAAACTAAACTCTTTGGGAAACCTGTTCCCCTCCTCGCCTGTGGGGGCGCTGCACCAAGAACCACTGAAGGAAACAACATGAAAACTTCCAAAGAAGACACCGAGCGAAACTTATGTCTTCATGAAATGTAAACAAAAATGGAGCAGCGTCAGATTTTACCTGTTGTAAGATTTCTCTTTTGTCTTTAAGAAAAAGGCCACAAACTATTTCTCTCATTAGTGTTAAACTCTCGCATTTGTTTTGTTTCTATGTACCAAGAAAAGTGCCCTCTTTCAGCCAGCTGACTTGCAGTGTGTTACCTCATGTCACTTTCTCCACCAGCTCTTTAAAAGGAGCTTAAATGGTAGGAGCGAGAAACCAGAGACAATCATGAGGTTAGAAACAGTTAAAATTGTTGGTTTATGATCAGGGCTGCAACTAATAATTATTTTAACTACTAGCTGTCAAACTAACAATCCGATTAATCGATTAATCGGATAAAATAATTTATGCACTCTGCAAATTTTTCATTTAAACCTCTTTTTATCTCAATATTAGAAACTCTTTAATAAACAAATAATTACATTGATTTTATAAATAAGAAAATAAACTTTTTATTACCTAAAATGCAGAAACATTACAGCATTACCTTAGTTCAGTGTTTCTCAATTCCAGTCCTCAGGCCCCCCTGCCCTGCATGCTTTAGGTGTTTACCTTCTGCCACACACCTTGATTGTATCTCTGGGTGATTAACAGGCTTCTGCAGTACCTGATGGTCATTTGAATCAGCTGTTCTGGAATAGAGATGCATCTAAAACATGCAGAGCAGGGAGGCCTGAGGACCGGAATTGAGAAGCACTGCTATAGTGAAAGCTAGATCATTTGCAGCAAAGAATGACTCTGCAGCTAAAAAAATGCTTCTGATATCAACAGGTGAAAAGGTCGGACCTTTCTGCTTGACTGAACATCAATACAGTGGATTATTTTTAGATAACCTGATTAATAAATGTACAGCAAAAGGTGCTTAATGGGAGATTTTATTATAAAATTTGAAAACCATTTGAAGCTGAAAATACTAAGTTTTTACTTTTTTAAAAATCTTAAATGCAAAATATTTATATTTTCTGTACAATTTTGGCTTAATTACTGCTCTGAATGGCCTTTTTTTAGTCTACATACTCCAGTTAACAATCGATTGCCAAGTTTTCTCGTGATTACTTCAATAATCACAATTAATCACAAGTAATCATAATTAATTCGATTAATCGTTTCAGTCCTATTTAATTCTAATCAGACATTACTCTCTACCCCTCTTTTTAAATCTGAAAAATTTATTGCGCTTGTAATAACAGAGGATCTTTTTTTAGATCAAGTGGAAGGAAAATATGAAATCCTTTAATTTTTAATTGTAAAACAAATACCTGCACAGGTTTGTGCTGTTGCTCTGTTCGCTGGAGTCTCAGAAATTAGTTTGTAACCTTTTCCAGTTGCTCTGTTTCTCATTCGTTGTTGAATTTCTTTTGGTCTTTAGATATTCTAGCCTACTTCCTGTTGTCAGACAGGTTTGTGTTTCAGGTCTGGCAGTAATCAGTGGATTCATTTGTCACAGTTTGAGCTTTGTGACGGTGGCATCAACTCGGTGACACACAGCGCAATGATATCAGTGAGTCACTCCCTCCTCCTCATCTCCTCCCTTTCCCGGTTTCTCCCACTCTCTCCTCTTCGTCCTCGCCTCCTCGGGGCCCAGTAAACCGCCTACAGTAAATCAGCAGATTCAGAGACGCCTGCACCAACATGGCCGACGGCTGAGAAGGCAAGCCCTGACGCAGACCCAGCTACACTTCTGCTCCTCCGGTGTGCAAATCTGCACATTTTAGACAGTTGGATTCAAATGCAGGAATAAAAGCTATGGTGATTAATGATGAATAATTACAATGCAGTCTGTCTGAG